AAACCAGTTTGGAAACCAATGTCCACTCATGAAATGTCATTGAATAAGAGGGTTCATCTTGTTCAATCGAATGGCATAAAAATATATACTGGTTTCATTCCGTAACTGATATCAAATTACGTTTTCATGAAAAATACGGGTTTGAAGAAATATATCATCAATCCGAATCACGGAATTCTAGCTGAAAGAACAACTGAATTCGGTTCTGTCCAATGATCTCGTTGTCAACCAGTATACAGTCTGACCATGATGAGGTTGCACAGCATCATCAACCTATCAGCAACGCTGAGGGATATCTATTGGATGTCCATAGGATGTCCCAGGGACGTACGAATTATTCTTTATTTTGAATTTCTCTGGGTCCCTCTAGGACCAGATCTTGCATAACTGAATAGGACATCCAGTTGAGTTGATGGTCCGTAGAAGGTCCCCAAAAAGTTTCCCAAGGATGTCCAATGGACTTACGTGAAGGACATTGACGAGGAGTACTTAAAGCCTACGAGCAATCATTCGTCGGCGAAGTGTAAGTTAACGTCCTCGCAGGGACAACATATTGAAAGTACTGACTGGGACGTCCATAGAACGTTATTTCTAAGACATTGGAAGAGTACAGTTCATGTACGAATTGGGGCATCCGACAGATATCCCTAAGGGACATTCGAAGGATGTCCCTAAGGGACATTTCGATTGTTATACGATCCTGGAAATATTGAGGGGGTTTGTGCAGAGATATTTGAAGGAATGTATCATCAGGGACATTTCATGGTTGTCTAGAAGGGACATTATATAAGATCTGAAGTCATGCCAGAATATGTACTACTCGGGACATCCGATGGATGTCCCTGAAGGAACGTTCAAAATTATATCCCTTCAGGGACATGCCAAAGACGTCCTCACATGGACATTCTACAATATGCACGTGGGACGTCTAAGGGATGCTGTTTCTAGGACATCTGAAATGATGTACCAGCTAGGACATTCCGTGGACGTCCTTGCTCGGACATTGCATGAGATGTACGGGATGGGACGAATTTCTGGTTCGGGACATTCGGACGTGAATTGTACCAAATAGGAACGTCCCTAGGACGTTGTGTGCTATTAGGGATGTATTTTTCTGAATAACTGTAAACAATTCTGAAAATTTTTAAAGGCTGTTGGTATGACCGTAAGAATGCGCCACTTTTTTCTCATTCAACCGAATTCCTATCACCTACCGTTTCCGAGATCCTCAAGCTGTGCAACCTTATCTTGGTCAGACTGTACAGGTTGTCCCACTTAGGTTGGCGAGGTACGATATCATGGAAACCATAAACCTCAGTACACTACACTGTTTTACCACTAACCAAACCGATCTTTCAACGCCTCGACACGTGTTTCGCTAAGAGTTTTAATCTTCTCCTGAAGATGCTAACATAGTTAGCGAAATACGTGTCGAGGCGTTAAAAAATCGGTTTGGTTAGTGGTAAAACAGTGTAGTGTATTATCGTGCCGAAGGTTCCAGTCTTCGATATATCATAAACCTCAGGACTTCGAGGAAAAATGATTGAGGACTAAATCAGCCAAGAAGAATTGATAAAAAATATTTTCAGGTTCACAAAACGACCGCGCAATCTTTATGATAAAACTAATAATTCAATTTTCCTCGAAAACCACTATAAGGTACTGTTCCGATGACGGAATTGCATAGTTCATTGAAATTCGCGTCAGATTGTCTCCAGACTTTTTTTTATATTTTGAAAACTAAAGGTGGAGGAAGCTGGTGAAGAAATCATTTTTGAAAATGCTCTATCTTCGATATCCTCTCTCCAAATTTGATCAACTTTGGCTCATTTGGAAGAGAATTTCACACCAATTTGAACACTGAATTTGACATTGATCTCTAGTTCACACATCGTCTACTAGATGGCGTCGTTCAACAAAGATTCTGTTTTTTTGATTTTTTCTGAAGTAATCAAGTGGAATGCAACATATTTTGATCAACAGATTCCAAATGCATTGAACTAGCTGCATTTTGGCGAAACATTTCCGTCATTGAAACAGTACCTTAATATGGTGGTTTTCGAGAAAAATTTTATTTTCATCATGAAGAATGCGCTTCCTAGCGGTCGTTTTATGAACTTGAAAATATTTTCTCTCAATTTTTCTTGGCCGATTTCCGAAATCCTGGGTTTATGGTTTCCATGATATCGTACCTCGCCGACCTTAATAGGACACCCTGTACATATAGGTTATCTTGCATCTAACTTCATCAGACTCGCACACAAATCTCGGCCAAGCAATTGAATGCTGAATATGCCAATGTGATATTCGAAAGAATGTCCAATTCCCCTACATAGAAGGAACCTGCTAGGATATCAGTTGAAATTTTATAGTTATAATAAATGAGACGCTTGGCCGGAGCGATTATCTAAATACTCCAGGAACGAACAAAATATGCGCCGCAGGTGATTTGTTTGTCAAGGTCAATTGTCTTCAATTAGTGAGTTACCTACTTTTTTCACGAGTATCGCCAGCTGTATATCTTATGTGATATTGATAATTTCATATTGATAAAGTGTGAGAGGTGAGAAATTCTTGATTTCGATTTTCATTTTTTGAGTTGAACACTGCTTGCTGAAAACATGATTTTGAACATACCATTATAGTTATGAAAAATCTATGATACCCTGAAATTGTTGAAAAACAGCTATATTTTTTGTGAGGTTCCTCTTCCGTTGAAAATAGTATATTACACACCGGGGTGGGAAGTGATTCATTCCTGTCGTGAGATCAGTTAGTTAACTGAGACGCAAAGAATCGAGGTAAGCTATAATTTCGAGACAGGAATGAAACTTCCTACCGAGGTTTGTATACTATTTTATTTTCAACCATCATATTTCGATCAAAATCAAAAAATCTATGTTTCGTTCTGAACATACCTGAATTATTACATGAGTGAGGGCGGGAAGTGGTGAGGGGCGGGAAGAGAGGACGGGAAGTAGTGGTGTCCCAACCTTCAATGACGTTAGTAATGACAACATTACATATACGGTTGTAAATAAATATGTTTAAAATGACCTAACCATAATACCAAATGACGTCGGATCTAGATATTGATGTCAAGAAACTGTTTTGATCAACTTTTCGATGAATGTGTTACTAAAAAGCTAAAATCCTTGAAAAACTCACAAAATAATAAATAATCATAGTTGGCTGCAAATACCTATTATAAAAACAAATACTGCACACATGAGAACGTAGGGCATGAATAAATATTATTTTCCAAAACATGGGCCAGAAGCGAGTGGAAGGCACGCTCTCCCTACTTGCCCTGCAGTGGCGACGCTCAACTCGTTTATCTATGAAGACAAGACGAAAGCTTTTGATTCCTATCATTATACAGGGTGTTCCTCAAGTAGGTACGTGTAGAAAATCCAGGAGCATGTTGCTGACGTCTAAATAAGAAGAAAAGTTCGTATAAACACATGTCCAAAAGTTTTCAGTTTCTGAGATACAGAGTGTCAAAGTTTAATTCTTATTTCTGTTTTTTGTCAATAAAGTTCAAGATAATTGTGATATAGGATTGAAATTTGGTATTTAGGAGTATTTTTCTATAACGATATCAAATTTTATGTTAGTTTGTCTCTTCCGTAGGGGTGGCGCCATCTACATGTTTTTTGATTCTTTCGAAAAGTCATAACTTTGTGTGCGTACCTGTATAACGTTTCACAGTAGAAGAATTGATTTCTAGAACACTTTTGTGTAAAAAATATATTCCTGTTAGATGTCGCTGCGAGCGAGTGTTTTCGAGTTATTGGGATTTGAAATAATCAATGCCAGTAATGTGGAATGACAAGAAATTGTAATTCAAAATTGATTTACTGACTAACGGAAATCATTCTTCTTTCATTTTATTAAAAAATAGGAATCGAGTGTAAGTACAATTTAATACTGATAATGATAACAGTAATTGAGACCAAATTGATACCAAAACAGTTGAAAACGCTTGGATCACAAGAACAGAAGACAACAAATTTCACTGTCACAAGAACGGATTGAAATAACATGACAAGTACTCTTTATTATTATTTTTTCCAATTGGGAGAGTCCGAAAAAGTAGGTACAAAGAAGTAATAATCATATTTTGCCTACATTCCAATGTTGAATGAAGGAGAATATTGAATGAAAGAAAAAAAAATGCACTGGCGTATCTTTCCTGATACTCACTAGAGGCGACTTACGAGCCACATGAAAATTATTCAAATGCATCAATTATTTCGAATCCCAATAACTCGAAAACAGTTGCTCTCAGCGACCTCTACCAAGAATATACTTCTTACACAAACTACTTGCAAAACCACCCCTAGCTACAAGATGTTATTTCAATATCACAATTTTTTTTAAATTCATTGACAATAACAATAATATAAATTCAACTTTGACACCCTGTATCTCAGAAACTAATAACTTTCGGACATATATTTATACAAACTTTCCTTCTTTTTTTGACGTCAGCAACATGCTCCTGAATTTTCCACACCTACTTAAGAGACACCCTGTATAAAAAAGGTATAGGTTCAGCTTCATCTCAAACTTGATATGATAATTACAACGTTCAAAGGAAGGTCTGTATTAGTCAATAAATATGATGTTGTTGCAAAATTAGCGGTTTGATGCGTTCGAATGAATCACTCTGTCTTATATCTGACTATACCAGCCAAATTGAGTCATTACCATGTGCCTAAATTGATTATATAGGTCATTATTGCCCACTATTTTAATTGTTCACATTACTACTGAAGTTTCTAAATTGAATAATTATGTTTTATCGAATACAAAATTATGAAATCTTGCATGAGTGGAGTCAACTATACCTACTGAAAAATTATTCATGAAATCATTCATCCAATAAAATAGAGAAAATAAGTTCAATCCTATTAAGTGAAACCTTAAATAGGTACCATTTGCTAGTATAGTAAGGATTCATTATACACCTCCATATACTCACTGCTCATTGTGTTCGAATGTTTCGTTGATGCGAATAGCAACTTCTGTTCGAGAAACAATTGTTTTTGTTTGAGTGAATTTACCAATGCTGCTTTTATGCTGATATGATCATGGTATGTGTTTTACAGCTATCATAATTATTTAATTGATGCAAATTTGCAGTTATTCGTACTCAATTTCATGTAAATATTTTGAATTGCTTATAATGAACAGAAGTAACACCTGATGAAATTATCTAGATTTGGTCTATGAAAATCACAATTTTTTGCATGTTGAAAGTTTTTCTAGTCAGATTTATTGGGTCACAGACAAGTGTGTACCAAAATATCAAAGAATATAAACGCAAAAAATTTAACCCCTCCGTTCACGAATGAAAATGAAAGCCAACTGAAAAAGAAGGAGTATTATATAGAAAAAGTAAATGTTGTTTGAATCTTACCTTTTTTCCTTAAGAAAAAAGCTTCTGGGAGAGGTCCCAGAATTACACAGAGGTATTATGAATTTGTGGTAAACCAATTTATTCTACCAATAGGCGTTTATTTCCCACTCCACTTCAAAATTTAGTTGAACACTTTACAAATATACAAATTACGTGAATTTTGGTTCGAAAATTGAGTATGGCGATATTATGTTTCGAGAGGTTGCTTGCAAACTAACTCAACATGGTTAGGATGAACAAGTACAAGATCTATAAAAATTAGTTCTGATATTCAATTTTGAACATGAGAAAAGTAACTAAATGCATTTCCATATGGAAATAAATAATGAGAGCTATACTTATTTCTCTTATAAAATGTGTAATGAGCACTTTGCTGAGAAAGGGCTCATGAGCATAAAATTGAGTTTAAAAAATTATATATCCAAAATATCAAATGAGGTTTGTGAGCTTCTTTAACTACGTGATTGATAAGAATTGAAGTTTCAAATGTCGGCTAAGAAAATCAGGAAAAATATTTCAATATCAAATTCATAGAGATAATGATTTCTAAAATCACACTGAACTTAATTTACAATCTTATGAAAGCAAATCATAACTTCACTTTACAACACTTACCTCCTTAAAAAAAAAATCGAACTCCCATGTCGATGTGGGATATTTTGTATCCCTATAATCTACAATTTGTCTTGGTCGTTCTGGAGGTGGATTATCTGAATATACAATTGAATTCATTAGTACGGTGTAATTAGACCTAAACCTCAACATCCAAAGTAAAAGTTTTCCTCCAACACCAAATTGCTCTACATAGTCCCCTTATTCTATGGTAAAAAGTTACACCGTTTCGAGCGTCGGGTTTGGAGGTGAGGGGGGGGGAATTTGAAAAATCACTAGTTTTTTCAGTTTTTCGTAAATATTTCAAAAACTAAGCGGTTTATCCTAAACATTGATATATACAAAAATGTTCTACGTTAAATTTCAAATAAGAATGGTCCTTTTCATAATCACTCTGAATTGTACGGTTCAAGAGTTACAGACGGTGTAAATGTTAACTTTCTCGTAATTTTGATAATTTTTTTAAATAATAAGCTTCGTGAAAGAATGTTACTATTTCAGTGGCCGGTGGTATGTTAGTGATAAGCCCTTGAAGGAACGACAACCTCACCACCTTATCAAGGGGCACTCTTTTTTAAGGGAAAAGAGGCTTCCACAGGCCTAGGCCATATAAACCTGTGGTACGGAGAAACCCACCCAGAACTTTCTACGAACATTGCAACATGAATTCACTTCTTGAGCATAAATATCTTTCAAATTTGGAATGTTCAATGTCTTCATTAACTTCACCCATCCTCCAGCACATTATCCTCCTCCTCTAGCTCGTCGTCTAAGATGTTATTATTGTCCATGTTATCACATGCTTGGCCTGAGCAATTGCTGCATATGCTAGTGCAGTTTAGACCACTCCTTCTGCATTCACAATTACGAACGCATTCATCTTTGCAAGTACACATTATAAGGGACAGTAATTCCTGGGGGGCTGCAGGACGTGCTGTTGTAATTGGTGTCAGGTGGTCGCCAATCTTCTTCCAACCCCACTCGAGTGGATCCTTATCTTCATTCAGCCACTGTTGTACCTGGTGATAGGTCCTAAATGAATGCTGTCTGGACGCTCCTGAAGTGGGGGGTAGTGCATCCAACTTCAGTAATGCATGTATAGGCTGCTTTGCAATCGCTTTCAAGTAGGACTGGTAGCGGAGACAATCTAGATCTTCAGTGTTCTTGGCTCCAAACATTGCAAGTAGGAAGTAATTTACGTATGTACTCATTATGGAAAAGCGACTGTTGCTTTTGATGGTTACGAACGAAGTAACACAAAGGATCAAGAACACCTACGAAGATCACGTTCCAACATTGTGGTCAAAGTAGAAGACTCAATCCATGTCAACATAAATCAAAATGAATTTTTAGCTAGTGCTGAAAACAAGATGGGTCTAATAACCCTCCTTTCATCGCACTTGCAACAATGTGGTTGCACAGTTCTTCAAGCATCGGGTGATGCTGACCTATTAGTATTCTTAACAGCTATTGATGAAGCGAAGAAAGATGTTCAAACGTGTGTTATTGGTGATGACACGGACTTATTAGTACTGTTGACTGTCCACGCACTTTCAGGGAATAAACTGAAAATGGTCGTACCTAAAAATGGAAATCACCAGGAAGAAGTGTACATTATTTCTGACATTCAGCAAGGCATTAGGGATATGAAAGATGTACTTCTGGTTACATACGCCTTCACAGGATGTGACACTTTGTCTGCTGTCTATAAGAAGGGAAAAATTGCACCTTATAGGAAAGTTCAAGCCAACAACGTTCTTCGTGAAAAACTTCTGGTCTTCAACAACCCCAAAGCCGGCCCCAGTGCAGTGGCTGATGCAGGAAATTACTTCCTACTTGCAATGTTTGGAGCCGAGAACACTGAAGATCTAGATTTTCTCCGCTACCAGTCCTACTTGAAAGCGATTGCAAAGCAGCCTATACATGCATTACTGAAGTTGGATGCACTACCCCCTACTTCAGGAGCGTACAGACAGCATTCATTTAGGACCTATCACCAGGTACAACAGTGGCTGAATGAAGATAAGGATCCACTCGAGTGGGGTTGGAAGAAGATTGGCGACCACCTGACACCAATTACAACAGCACGTCCTGCAGCCCCCCAGGAATTACTGTCCCTTATAATGTGTACTTGCAAAGATGAATGCGTTCGTAATTGTGAATGCAGAAGAAGTGGTCTAAACTGCACTAGCATATGCAGCAATTGCTCAGGCCAAGCATGTGATAACATGGACAATAATAACATCTTAGACGACGAGCTAGAGGAGGAGGATAATGTGCTGGAGGATGGGTGAAGTTAATAAAGACATTGAACATTCCAAATTTGAAAGATATTCATGCTTAAGAAGTGAATTTATGTTGCAATGTTCGTAGAAAGTTCTGGGTGGGTTTCTCCGTACCACAGATTTATATGGCCTAGGCTTGTGGAAGCCTCTTTTCCCTTAAAAAAGAGTGCCCCTTGATAAGGTGGTGAGGTTGTCGTTCCTTCAAGGGCTTATCACTAACATACTACCGGCCACTGAAATAGCAACATCCTTTTACGAAGCTTATTTTTTAAAAAAAATTACCAAAATTACGAAAAAGATAACATTTACACGGTCTGTAACTCTTGAACCGTACAATTTAGAGTGATTATGAAAAGGACCATTCTTATTTAAAATTTAACGTAGAACATAGAACAATGTTTAGGATAAACCGCTTAGTTTTTGAAATATTCACGAAAAACTAAAAAAACTAGTGATTTTTCAAATTCCCCCCCCCCCTCACCCCCAAACCCGACGCTCAAAATGGTGTAACTTTTTACCAAACAATAAGAGGGTAATATAGAACAATTTGGAGTTGGAATGAAACTTTTACTTTGAATGTCAAGGTTAGGTCTTTTTTTAGGTTAATAACACCGTACTACATTGATGCTGAAAGGGATTCCGGGATGAGAGAAAAATGCCCTACTGGTTCGTTATTATACCTTGGATTTGTTGTTTTATTATCAATACTGATACAAATCCCGACTACCATTTCTTGCAACAACAATAACAGCATAAAATGATACATAATGAAATAATGAACAAAATAGCTAACACAATATTAGTTGCAGATAAAGAGTTTGACATACAGAAAAAATTATCTAACTCTTCGTTAATTTCAGAAAGCTTTCTCCTTGCCAAATTCAAATCATTTGAATGCTTACTCACAACTTTGAAATTTGAATCTTAATGTACTTCAGAATAATTATCTTTCTCAGTTTCTTCGTTTCACAACAATCATATAACAGATTGATTGGAGGGATGAAATTTTGGAACATTCCGGTTCCTTAAACTAATTCATTGTAGATCGGACTTCGACGATTTGTACCGATACGTTCTGGAGAATTCCGAGCAAAAATCAAAGTATTGAATGAAATTGATTCACGCCATATGTTTCGATATTGAGAAGTTAATCTCTTCTTCTGGAATTGTACTCGGAGGTTTTTGCTGACATACATAGAGGGATTTCATGTATACAATACATAAGGCAAATTGTTATTCAGCAAATAGCAAATATCTCTGCTTAATACTATTAATAGCCAAGTATTTCGTAGATAGTTGGATAAAAATATATTTATTTATTACATGAACTGGTGAGGAAGTAAGTTTGTGAATATCACATTCTTGACTATCTGTTATAGGTTAATGATTGTGTCTCTGATTGATACTGAACATAAAATATAATGAAATTTTAAAACTGTTCGTTTGAATTCAATCGTGCCTCGAAAAGAGCGAGATCCTTGCCTTCTCTATTGAGGAATTTCTCAAATTTGTTCTTAAATTTCCTTTTAATATCTGCTCATTTGTATCGAAAGTTGAGATTGTGTGATTGAAATTTGAAAGTTTTTTCCACTTTGTTTTTTCAAAATAACAGCCAAAATTTGTTCATTTTTCGTGAACTGATTAATTTTTTTGTTGTAATATTCTGCATCGTCATCGTCTGAATGAAAATCTTGAAGCTTGGCCATGGATGTTTGTGTTTGTATGTATACCTAACCCCGCACAAGTTTCGATTCATGGGACGTATGCAATTGCAAAA